TCTGTAACTAATACCGCTGTACCGTGGGCTCAACTGTAATAACAGCTATTCCGATAGAAACCGATTGAGTAGCGTTTTGATCACGTGACCCGACACGTGACCGTCGTCGTTGGCAATGTTGCCAAAAGGTAAAAGTTCGTATGGAAATCTATCGTCCATGATAGTTTCAGCGCAATCGGCTGTATATCTATGGAGACACGGCTGTTAAATTTCTTAAGGCAATTTAATCTCCTGACCGAGGCCTTAAACTACTTGAGTATAATAACGAGTAAAATACTCAGCGATATGAAACACCAAAACGTGATATAAGTTATTTACGATCCAACACGCCAAATTGTTATTTCATTTTGGGCGATTTTGCGGATACTTATTTACAGGGAGTGCGTGACAGAAGTTTGCGAAGCGGAACAGACTTGACGCTTTGTCGTGTTGCTGTTTCTATTTTCTTCGATAAATGATATAATTTCATTGTCGTCTAACTGATTTTCTTCGTTTTACTTCTCTAATGAACTTGAATCCATATTCGCCAGCCATCCCGACTCTCCGACGTGTAACTTTGCGCGATGCGAGAAATCATGTTAAACCGGTTCTCTGGAGTATAAATACCGCGAGATTGGTACTCGTCTTGAGGGGTGTTACGAAACGAAGACCCTCGAAAACGAAGACCTAAGACCGAAGACCCGGTCTTCGTTTTCGTAGTACGAAAACGAAGATCCTGTAAACAGAAAACCGTAGAAATTACAAGTTAAACACACATTAAACAGCAACAACGCTTAGTAATATAATACATTACACTTCACGCGTTTCTTCCATTATTATAGTGCCCGTATATTATACGGCCCGTCATGTCTGTTCTGTTACGCTATGCGAGCCAATTTGGTGTCGAAATTCTCGAGGGTTTCCTCGGGTAAACTTACCACACATATTATCATTCTGGAACAGCAGGCAGAATTCGAACGCTAGTGTAGAAGAGTTGTACCGCGTCGTGCGTTACTCACGTGGGTCACGCAGTTAGGGTACGATTGTATTGTCTCGTAATTGGACCCCTTCAGAGATAGACTACTCGTGGTAAGAGACGTGTGTATGTTTTAAAAAAGTGTTTTTGAAGGAGTTGCGGAGCTTTCCCGCGCTCGTGACTAAATAAGCGTCTGGAGAATCCGTTAACCGTGTGCTGTGGTTTCTCTCTTACGGATTCCACCGCTACACTAGCCTGCTTAACCTTAGTAAGGCCCTAAAATATTCCAATCGCTTCTTCGATGGGGTTGTCTGTTCCAAATTTGGACTCATTGCATAGAAAAACAAATCGAAGAGCTGAAAGCAGTGGTGGCTGAAGAAAGAACAAGAAAAACCACGCGCAAACTGTCTTAGCATATCAAAAGCTGAAATAACAACATTACTAGTGCTCAGGGTACGTCTACAACCGTACTTTCAAAGGATTTTCTGCTTTAATAAAGGGTCTTCGTTTTCGTACTACGAAAACGAAGACCGGGGGTCTTCGTTTTCTACTACGAAAACGAAGACCGGGTCTTAGGTCTTAGGTCTTAAGTCTTCGTTTTCGTAACACCCTCGTCTTGGGTGTTATTTGTACGCTATGAAGTACAGTTGGATAACAAATATGCAAATGTTAGTCCTTCAGATATTGTCTTTGTAATAATTGTTTTTCTCATCCTCGTTTAGTCTGACCCTAAGGCTAAATCATCATCATCAT